TCCTGGCATCGCTACTAGGAGCAAGGACGCTACTAGGGGCTCCTGGCCTTACTACTACGAGTAGTCACAAGAAGCACAAAAACTTCCAAGGTAGACTCCATATAGCCAAACAGCCCAAAGTGGTTTTTTGAACGTGGGGAACACTCCAGCAAAATGGGCTCGAATTGCAACCGCTGTTTGGCAACATACCAGGCCCACTATCTCGGATGGAACCAAACTCGTGTTCTGCAGCAAGCTAGTGAACACCAGTGGAAGGCCAACTTTGAAAACAGGTCCAAGTGAACCGGACTTGCCGAACAGAGTACAAGCGCGGCATAGACCTGAAACATGTATTGCGTCTGTTCTTGCCTGAATTTTGAAAAAGAATGCATTTGTCCAAGAGTACCTTCGCTCATGTGGCCTTTGCAATGATAGCGTGGAACATTCCGAGTCACTTTGCAAACGCCGGCCCGTTCGGCTTGGAACACGAAACTCGGCCCGTTCGGCTTTTGGCTCCATGGAGTCTTGGCTCGAACGCAACGCCAAGCGACTGCGACAATGAAGCCAGCACCTGAGAACAAAGGATGGGAAATAGAAACGAACTGCATAACAATAAAGACATAATCCCTGGTCTAGCAAAAAGACAGAAGGAACATGAAAAAATTGCATTGTTCTATTCAATATTTGTTACATTCAAAATTCGATCTGTTTAGCTCTTCTTTTTCGGGTGGCGCGAAGAAATTCTTCAAGGCACTGAGTAAAGCCACCAGGCAAAGAACGAGCAGCACAAAGCGACGGTTTCTCCGGCGAATGAGCATCCGACAGGGTCTGGGAAGGAAGTGCATCTGCGGCGAGGTGATGGAAACCCACTCCGATCGTGAAGCACGGGCTTAAGTCTGTCACTGGAGAGGAGACTGATGGAGACTGCCAAGTTTGTCCATTTTAGCTAGAGCTGAACGACATCCAATTAGCGGCTTTCCTAATGGTGATCGATCCGAATCTGCATGGAAGGGGTTCTATGCGAGCAAGAACTAAAGCTGTCGCTGACCGCCTGCAAATTGCCTTCCCGTTCTTGATCGCGGAGAATCTCTCCAAGCTCCTGAAGAGAAATCCTCGTCTTTAGCCGATCTTCGACATGGCGCCGTCGTGAATGATGTAAACATTAGGAGCTGCCGAATGAACGCCGATACATAACGTGTTGGAACGCTAAACAGCACAGGGTGTTGAGTATCCGTCAATTACAAGTTCACTGTCAACGAATTTGTATGTAAGTGTTAATAGCAGTGGCCTCCAACCTACTAGCTTGTTGCTCCTAGTAATAAGGCCAGGAGCCCCTAGTAGCGTCCTTGCTCCTAGTAGCGATGCCCTTTGCTCCTAGTAGCTTCTTGTTACTAGTGGCAATGGCCTAAATGTTGGAAATGGATGTGAGCTAAATAGACTCTGTATCGACACCTCTGGGTGAACTGAGCCAAGGTGCTCGGAGTGGGATGTGGCGCTTGAAGCTATGGTGGAGGAGCTCACCTCGGGGCTTAAGCCGGCAGCCTTTAAAAAGATTGTAGGAAGTATCACTGGAAGAATGCATGAAGAGTGCAAAGAGGGGTAAAGCAACAAAAAACATGTCTGTAGTGTTGCTGTAAGCAAATATGTAATGTAAATAGGTCAAACCGGTGATCTTCTCACCAAACCGCCTTGTTTTGAACAGCTTCTACGACGGTTGCCTCGTCTCACGTTGAGGGCCCCTGCCCCTCGCTTGAGCCCACGCAGGTCCGCTGCCGGATCCTCATCTCGCTCTGACCTCGGCAAGTTCGTAGTCTTCAGGGAAGACTCCGGGAAGACTGCATTTTTCGGGCAGACCACTTGCTTCATCAGTATGTCATGTGGTTCAATGTTACAACCCTGAGATGTGGCAAAAAGAATGCTATGCTTGATCACATTGTGCTTGTCATTGTAACAAATCTTAGCTCCTGGAGCTGTGGTGGGTTGTCCCATTGTCCTCTGGCGAAACATGTTGTCCGTCTTTCACACATGTGACATCACCTGGGACTTCAGGCTTGACTGACTTCCACCAGAAGCGGAAGCCCAGCAAGAGCAACAACAAGAGCAAGGCGACGGCAAAAATGGCGGCAGCCAGGTACTTCCATCCCCTGCACTCTTGGACAACCAGGAAGCCGGAACAAATGCATATGGTTGAATATAGGGTGTGAATGTGGGATCTCCGAGGCGGACTAAAAAGAAAATATGTTTCATTCCTAGTAGCGTCCTTGCTCCTAGTAGTAAGGCCAGGAGCTCTCTCTCTCTCTCTGTCATCTTACACCAAAAAGAACATTTGTTTCGTTCAGTTGGATTCATCTCACTTCTTCATCTGTGTCTTTTCCTTCAGCTGGATACGCAGCACGTACTCCTGTCCAGCTTCGTGCCTGTGCTGGGTAGCATAGGCCACGATGTTCTGCCATTGCCAGCCACCGGGCTCAAAAATGCTCGGCACATCCACCTCCTTGTGCCTCACAAGAATGCCACCTGCAGGAGATTCCTAACTCAGTCCAAGCTGTTCAACCGGATTGATCTTCTCAGAATCAAGACTATTCGCCACGGTTTCCCTCTCAGGATGCATGAACATGCATCAACGTATTGGGTCACTCTTTGCCAGTCCAGTATATATGTCATTATTGGGTTGGAGGCCATTACTATTTGGTTGGAGAGCGAACCCAAAAATAAATGTATATATACATGTGTGGTTCGTGGCCACAGGATCTCGCAGTTGTCTGGCAAACGCGACCTTGGGGCTGCCTTCTTCATATGGCCTAGAAGCGATGGCCTCCAAACATGCCTTAATTTGATGTTCCATCCCGTTCTAAACACTCCAAAATGCCTGTGTAGTCGCTCAGCTCCCCGGGAGTCAGTAGGACCCACTTGAGGCGCAACTCGTGACAGCTCTGGAAGCATCGGGACCCCTCCTGTCCAACGCACAGTTTTTCATGAATTCTCGCCGCAAGATAAAGGCAAAAACACGCAAAGTGATGCAAAAAAATGTTGGCAATGCATCCCTGTTTGTAACAGGTGCATCGCTGTTAGTAACAAGGGCGGCATCGCTACAAGGGCAAGATTGGTAGGTCCTTTCCAAAGTGTGTGGAGTCACTTGCTCAATCGTTCAAAAGTTTGGTCTGCTTTAGCGCTACCATTTCTCAAATCAACGTTGTTCACTTTACATGTTCCTTTTGAGCTGTCCCTTCGAAATTCATGAATGTGTGCAGCCTTCCGGTCGCAACCACAAATCTGCCGCACATATGCCTGCAGGCAAACAAGTGATCAAAACTGTGAGAAATGTCCAGTTTCGGGTTTTGGCTCCAGTGCAACTTTGAAAAACGGTCAGAATTTGCTCAAGATCCGGGCGTCTGGTCGTTTTGTCAGCTGCAAAGCCCTTGCAATGGTGTGTGTGTGTGTGTGTCAACCCCTGGGCCAAGGGTTCACCACTACCACAATTTTACACGCAGGGGCACACGGCATCCATGACCTACCGTGTGCAACGAAGCTGCGGTCATGGATGGGAAGGGAAGGCTGATCACCTTCCTATACCTGCTTTCAACACACTAACTCCAATGGTCCACCCTGCCGCTGTTTGTTGGTTTCATGGTTCTTTTTCATGCTACCTTCCCCATAAACAGGTTTCTCTCAGCAGCCGTCCGCAGCCTTGCGCCGCACCGACCGAGTGACTGATCGTCTCTGCAGACTTAAACAACCTTTTTCAAACACCTACAAGTTTTCGGACCTTTCACAATGCGGTTCTGTCACCTTCCTTCTCAACTTGGGAACTGAGTTAACTGAATACAATTGTCAGAGTGTGTCTCGCTCAGCCGTCCCACTCGGGTGCTGAGTGTGATCCCCGTCATTGGGGCGCTGTCTCATCGTGCAAGCACTAACTGCCCTCACCACCTTTCACAGGAACTCCACTGGAAGTCACCTACACAACCACCGAATTAACTGACACCACGGCTGCCGAGCCTTACCACGGGACTCCATAGCCGCCGGGCTTTAAAACGGTACCCCAATCAGGCAGGTTTCCCCACCCCCCCCCCCCC